GGCCATGCCGTCAATCCAAAGAGAGAAGATAATAAGGCAGAGTTGGCAGAGGGAGGAATTGTTGTAGTTGTCATTGGTGTGGTGAGGTGAACATGTTGTTTGGGAGAGAGCCTCGAGAGAAGAGAATAAGGCGAGAAACTGGGAGAGGAATGGAATTAGATGAATTAAGAGTCTCATGATCACTTCTTCTATGGACCTGACTTGTGCTTGCATCAGCTTCCCAATCTCAATCTCAAGCTCAAATTTGCCGCTAAACTTTTTCAATTTCAAGTTTCAGACTTTCAGCTAATCGCAGTGTTTAAAAAATTGGCCTAGGCTGGCAGCTAGGTGGCTAGGCGGGCGCTAGGCGGCTGGAGGGCATCCTAGGCTGGTTGGGTCTTTTTTGGGTGCCAAACCTAGACGACGAAGTAGCCAAAACCGAAGAAAACAAATCGATGCTTGAGTTGATAGAGAAGCGAAATGGCTATGACTTAGACTACAACCTCCATCCTCTGTGAGTGTAAGCTTCGTGTTCATTTCGAATATATTTAAAGAGTATAGCTGATTGGTTATACTTTTAAAATATTCGAATATATTGTATTTCAAGCTTATAGCCGGTCGGCTATACTCTTTAGATATACAATTTTGTCATATCATTTTAGGGTTAGGAGATAAAATACCACTTTAGTTCATTGGGCTAGAGTTATTTCTTCAATTCTTTTATTTGTATAAGCGATATTGGGGAATGAGAATTTAAATACTTTCCAATACCTTCCATTCTAATGATTTCCAGCTATTAGCCTATTGGGCAAGAATAAAAAAAATGTATTTTATTCATAACAAATAACACGGGCTATACCCATAAATACAACAACAAAAAATAGGGATCCGCCAACATTTTGTGGATCAAATACTATTGAATTTCATATTATAAAATTGCTTGTATAGGAATTTACTTTCTACAATGTCCATCGTAATAACGAACTAAACCCAATTTCTGCCTTTTTCTCATTGCACTTGACAACCCTGCTCTTCTGCTATGAGATATATTAGTCCACGCTGTATTTTATGCAAATGAAAAATTGGATACAAAACAGTCTAACGAGACAATGAAGAGAAGTTTGCAGCTCTGTTTTGAAATAAATCGAAGGTAATGGAGGTCATATGGCATTGATATACGAAGTATTCAAAATGAGAATTCAAACAACATGTGCTAGATGAGAAGTAGATCTCATTCTAACATATACCATACCCACGTGCACCTGAAATTTCCAATGTGAAGAGGGGAGGTAAGTGCAATACCTCCCTTGTAGCTCGCAAGCGTAGCAGATCCAACCTTTCATGAGGATGTCTGTTTGATAAAGAAGCAAGCTGCATCCAAACATACATTAGTGCCGGCAATCACAGTCCACAATATACTCAATTTTAATAAAGAGAAATATAAAGTTACCCATAAGCTGAAGCGCTCAGGATCTTGTGGTGAAGGCATCATCGCTTCCCCGCCCAGAAGTCTCTCAAGTTTTCTTCGATCTATAAAGAGATACTATCATACTAGGATAATATCCCAAGTCTCAAGTACCTCTGTGTTAGATTTGATGGGGGAGATGGTGTCTCAATGGAGAAACTTTTTTCTAAGTGCCCTGTACTTGAAGATTTGACTATACTTTGGAATTTTAGAGTTGATTCAAAATCTCTGACCCTGAATTGAAGACAAGCATTACAAATACTAGAAATAATCGTACGTTCCAACTCTTCATCAATTCCCCAAAGCTTGAAAACCTGATTATCGATGTCTTCAGTTGGTGCTCATATGCCATTTTATGTTTTCTAAAATTTGCAGTCAAAATTCGTCCCTATAGGCTTCCAGTAGGTGAAAGTCTAGCCTGTGATTACCTTGTGCCTCCAGTTACTATAGGAATTTCCAATGTTACGTATCTTTCTCTTCTAGCTTCTAGTTTGGATGGTTTATTTTTGCTTGCTATCTTTAAACTTTTGAAACAGTTGGAGCTAGGACTCATTCATTCTAGTTACTGGACATTGCTCATAGAAAATCTGAACCGATCACCTAATCTAGAATCTTTTATCCTAGACCTTGATAGTATGTTGAACACAGAAAACAACCCTTTCCGTCCACCAGCATTTGTGCCTACTTGTTTGTCTTCACACATTAGGATAATCTCCATGAACGAGTTCCAAGGAAACCGTCATGAGATGGATGCGACTAAGTATTTGTTGAAGTTTGATTTAGTTATGAATAAAATGACTGTTTCTACTGCTACTATTGTTGGTGTTGTCACTCATTCCCTCCCGAAATAAGAGATATACAAGGAAATTTCAATGTTTTAATGTGGTTCATAGAGTTTCCATGTTCAAGTTCTATGAGATGCAATAAAGGTCTCAGTTTCACATCAGTTCAAGGATTTCTCCGAGTTTGTTCTATACTTTCTGAGTTTGAAAATGTCAATTTCATTTGTTGCTTTCACTCATCTGTTAGATTAAAGTGGACATTATATTAGTAGTGATTTAATCCAACTTATTTTGGAACTTTGAATTTTTTGTACAACTCCATGATCTTTTTTGGGTCATTGAATTGTTGGTTTTCTAGCTTTCGTGGAACTCCAACAATTTGACAGCTTTTACATGTCGATATTTTATTTTTCAATTTGGGGTTTCAGACTTTCAGTCAATTGCAGTGATCAAAAAATTGGCCTAGGCAGGCACTAGGCTGCTAGGTGGGCTCTAGGCTACTAGGCGGGCACTAGGCAGCTAGGCAAGTTTGGTCTCTTTTCAGTGCCAAGCTCGGAGTACGAAGTCTCTGTCTTTACATACATTGAAAGAGCCCAATCCAATCAAATCAACCCAGCAGCCGAAACCAAAGAAAAAATATATATAAAAGCTTGAGTTGAGAGAGAGGTTCAAGACCGAGTCTTTGAAGCTTGGAAACGGCTGTGACTCTGACTGCAAGCTTCATGTTCGTTTCTCTATCCCTAAACCATGAATATTTTTAAAGAGTATAGCCGCTCGACTATACATTTTTAATTTTTAAAATTTTAAAGTGTATAACCACACAGCAATACCTTTAAAATGTTCAAATATATTAAAAAAGTACAGCCGATACTCTTTAAATATACAATTTTGTCATATGATTTTAGGGTTTAGGGCTAAGATACCACTTTAGCCCATAGGGCTAGAGTTGTTCATTCAATTACTTTGTTTATACAAGTGATATTAGGGAATGAGAATTTAAATTCTTTCTGATACCTCACATTCTAATGATTTCCAGCTATTAGTCCATTGGGCAAGAATAAAAAATGAATTTTATTTATAACAAATAATACAGGTTAAACCCATAAATACCACCCCAAAAAAAATTATATCTGCCAACATTTTGTGGATAAAAGAATGTTAAATTTCATAGTATAAAATTGCATGTATAGTAATTTACTTTCTAAATTGTATCCATCGTAATTATGAACTAAACCCAATTATAGCCTTCTTCTTATTGCACTTGACAACCCTGCTATTCTGCTACGAGATATATCAGTCCGCGTGACTATACTTTTAAAAAATTCAAATGTGTTTAAATGGTATAGCAAAATATTGGATAATTTTGCTTTTAGCAATTTTGAATGTACCTTGGAAACATCATTCATAGTATGAGAGCATACAATTGCCAGGTTTGTCATTCATATACTTTGTCACAACATTTTCAGGATAATCTTCAAATTTTACCCAAATTATAGTTAAAATAGCTAACCACTTAAAAGGTGGTTCCTTCAGCAATGCTCTCTATTTTAGCTAACCTAAAATATTTATTATTTTAAAATCATTAAAAAAATTAAAGAAAGAACTCAAAATGAAAAGTAGCCCACTACCGAACCTTTCTTTTTCTTCTCTCTCTCTTGCACACCTTCTAGCTTTTTCTTCTCTCTCTCTCTCTCTCTCTCTCTCTCTCTCTCTCCTGCGCAGCTTTCAGATTTGGTGAGCCTTGAATTTCTCTCTCCTTCTGGCTAGATGTAGTGAGCCAACATGGCGAGATCGGTAGCGAAGCTGCTGGAGCGTTGTTTTTCCTTCTTTTTCGCTAAAATACCAAAATTTCCTTGAGGCCATTGACAAGTGAGAACATCATTTTTTTTTATGCTTCCTATAATCTATACATAAACAATCTTATAAAAAAAGAACTATGTTCTGCATGTTTTTGGTTCATTCTTGACAGCAATTGTCGCTCCAAGGCCTTAGATACCCTCATGAAGGATCTCAAAGTTTTTGCCGAAGGTAATGAAGAGCTGTTCAAAGAAATGCATCAAATGTGTATGGGTTCAATCCAACAGGAATCATAAGGCACTCTCTATGTGTGGAGATATAATGTCTATGATGAAGACTATGATGAAGGAAAATGCTAGATCATTGTTCATTATCATATAAATAAGGTACAACAAGCACCATATATGTATCTCTTCAATATGATTGATATATTTGCCAATGATCCTCGTACAAAAACTTGTTAAGAATTGAAGAAATATTACTACATAACATTCTATAGTACCATTGGCTACTATATTTTCAAATCAGAAAAATACTAAGATACAAATTCAAAAAATCATTGGTCTTATCATCGACCTCGAGGGTCTTGCAATCTGTTGGTACTAAGCAACGAATCCCATCCTTTATCTACAATTAAGAATCATACAAGACATCAACTATACATGCAAAACCATATAGAAAAGATGAAATTTTTGACGGTCATTCGTGTTCAGCTCAACACATGACCTCTATCAAATACAAGGGCATTATCAATTCTCACAAGAACAAGGACACTCTTCATGCTGTTCTCTGAGTTGTAAGTGACATGTTGCAGGACATTCATTGGAGACGTGCTGCAGAGAAGGATTCGATCAACTGATATATTGTATGGCACATTCGAATCATGATCCACTGGGGAAACAACAGGC